GAGAATGGAGTGTGTGTGTGTGTGTGTTGGGGCGGGGGAGCGATTCGGGGGTGATGTTTTCGATCTGGTAGTTAGGTGGGGTGTAAGTGGGGAACACCATCTGGGGAGGAGCAGCAGGACAGAGGCCTCTAGATGGGAAGGGCCCCAGGAGACGTCCAGCAGAGGCGAGGGCGGCTGAATGCACTGAGCGAGCGAGGGACAGGGAGGCAGACTGAGGAGGCCCTGGGGCCAGCCGCGGGAGGGCGATGGGTCATGGAAAGATGCAGGACATTATTTGCGGTGAAGCAATTATCTAGAGGTGACTCCAAGGCAGAGGGAAGCTGGTGGCCCCAAGGGGTCCATGCCCTTTCCCATGTACCCCTCATGACAAGCTGGAAGTATTTAGGGCTTCTGGGGCGAGTCTCTGGGTCCTATAAAATGGTCACACAGCTGCAGGCCCCCCTCTTGGCGGTTTTACAATTCGGATGAGCTGTTCTGGCTTCCTAGGTCTACTAGGAGACTTTTAATGGAAGCTGACTTTATTCCTGCTATACACCACCTCACATCACCATCAACTTTTGCATTCCCCCTGTAGACCATGAGATCTATATGTATTTTCTCCAATCCCAGAGAACCATGCTGAGTTTTAGGTGAGGAAACTTGACAAGGTCATATTGTGCTGTAGTCAGATTGGGCCGCAGTAATGAGGTACTATAGACTAGTGGCTTATAAAGCATGGACATCTATTTCTCATCATTCTGGCTGAATCTGAGATCAGGTGCCAGCATGCCCGGGTCCTGGTGGGGGTCTCTTCCAGGTTGCAGGTGGCTGACTCCTCATTGAATCCTCACATGGCACACAGCAGCGATCGCAAGCTCCTGTGACTCTTATAAGGACTCTACTCCCATTCATCAAGAGCTCCACCCTCATGACCTCCACTAACCCTAATTACCTCCCCAAGCCCATCTTTTAATATCATCACACTGCGGGGCAGGGTTTCATCATACAAATTTGAAGGGGACATGAACATTCAGTACAGGACACATGGTTATTAAGTGATGGTGGGATTTAAATTCATACCTAACTGGCTGGAAAGTCTGTTTTTCTTACTCTGCACCACATTGCATAATCCTTCCTGAGTACTTCCGTTCATTCATCAAAACATTTATGGATCAGCTGCTGTGTGTTTCACACTGTGCCACGCACACATTAGAGATGTAGATACAAATAAGAGACAGTTCCTGCCCTCAAGTGTCTTAGAACCGAGTGGGCTCCCTAGAGTCCTACTACATCTCCCAGAATGGAGTGAGGTCATAGTGCAGACACACCCTCCCAACACACACACTGTTTTAGACTTTCTGAAGTGGAGATTTGCCTTATTCTCATGGAAGAACCTTGCCAGCTGCCAGGCAGGGTGTGCCATCGCCACGCATGAACAGCATCCATTGACCTACTTGTCCTCGGGTGACATTGGTGCTACCGTTCACAGTCGAATTTCACTTACATTTGGATCCTTGATTGTCACTTTAAAAAATCATCAGACATAACCCTATGATGACAAGTTAACATGACAGGTTATTAATGCACAAGCCTGCCCGTCACGCATGGGCAATGCAATCGAGGGCAGCAGCAATTGCCAAGTCCCTGAGTGCCCACACAGTCGCCAGAGCCAAGTGCAGGACCCACTCATGCCATGGTGAGGGGCTGTCCCTCGGGTGGAAAACAGTCTCTACACAGCTTCCCGGTGACTTTCTGGAGAAGATGTGACACTTCTAATATCTTACTCAGTTCAAAAAGATGAACTAGCAACTTAAACACATTCGTAAAAATTCCACTGTCCTTCCTTATGCCTCAGAATAATCACTAAGATTATTCTCAGTGTCAGTATCCTGGTTGTTTCCTTCAGAATAGTTCCTAGAATTTATAATTATTTTGTTTGTCTTTCAGAATGAGGTTATCTTTTCATCATTGTTTCCCCAGCAACCGTTTACCAGGACTCCTAGGGCAGAGGGCCGGAGTGCTGTGTGGACGGTACAGTGAGCAGCCAGGGGGGGTCAACCCTTGGTCACGTGGCCTTCCACATGACTGGCAACCTTAGCATTTCATGAGGGAGTACGGGAAGGCATGAGGTTGGCGGAACCGGGCCTTGGTGGTTTGCTACAAATAGGCACTTGTCGGATCGGAAACACTGTCAAGGGGAAGGCATACAATTTGTCTTGATTAAAACAGTCAAATTCATCGATCAGGGAAATCCACATCTATGCCCATTGGTTTGCTACAAATAGGCACTTGTCGGATCGGAAACATTGTCAAGGGGAAGGCATACAATTTGCCTTGATTAAAACAGTCAAATTCATTGATCAGGAAAATCCACATCTATGCCTTTTTAGGGTGTTTTATGTTTTCCCTTCTTTGTTAAATTTGGGGTGACGACATTGGTTAATATGGTCATACAGGATTCAGGAGTGGGCTTCTATGTTACAAGATCTGTATATTGCACCGTGTGCCCACCACCCAAAGTCAAATCATCTCCTGTCACCATATATTAGGAACCCTTTCACCCCTCTGGCAACCACCACACTGCTGTTTGTGTTCACGAGTTTCAGTTTTATATCCCACATATGAATGAAATCATATGGTTCTTAGCTTTTTCTGACTAACATTTCACTTAGCATAATGCTCTCAAGGTCCATCCATGTTGTTGCAAATGGCAGTATTTCGTCCTTATGGCTGAGTAGTATTCCACTGTGTAGATGCCCATTATGTGAACAAGAATGCCAGTGGTGATATGTGTTAACAATAGGGCTCCAAGTTTTCAGACTTCAAATGCCATGTCTGGTGAGGATGGATTTTCAGAAGGGCCGAGGCCCCCTTTACATCTGCCTGTCAGACAGGATTCCCATCGATTCATAACTCAGACGTGAGCCCCACGTCTTGGCACAGTCACCTTCCTGCTCCTCCTTAGCAGGAGGGCATTTGGGCAGGAGGCGTCGCTAAGGATGAGTCTGTGAGGCATAATTACTACTTCCCCCGTGGACTCTGAGCAACTTTCTCCTCGTTTCATCAATGACAACACCCGAATTTCACGCTCTTCCTCTTCGCCTCATTTTAAAAATAAGCAGTTTCCCCATATACTCAATAGTTCAGGGACACGTGCTCGAACTGACTCAGCCTTCAGCACATTCACTCATGCCTGCAATGCTGCTTCCCAAGCAACCTTCTGTCACCAACTACTGAACCCAGACTGGCTTTGTAGGCTCAGATTAAGCCCACGCCTTCACAGAGCTCTTCTCCGTACTTTGCTAGAAGAGTTCTCTCTCCTGGACCCTTATAGTTGGTTTCTGTCCATCGCATGGCACTTGCCACAAACCATCCGGTGCTGAAGGTGCCTGTGGGCATGTTTGATCCCAATGTAGCAAAGGCTCCTGGGGGGCTGAAGCCATTTCTCAAAGACCCCGGTTTGCTCCCTACACCTGGCTCAGTCCTCGGTACCAAGAGCTCTCCCAGGGGAGCAGGCACATTCTTCAAAGGTCTGATCAACTCAAGAACATATATGGGCAACAGAGGGGACAGTAAGCCCCGTTCAAGAGAGCCTGGATGATCTGGGAAAGGGGATAACCGTGTGACTAGACCTCTGCCACCAGAACATCATCAGTGACTGGTTCCACTCTGCTTGTTCCTGCAGCTTCCAGTTGGGAGCCCAACACGTCTCCCAGGACCTTGGACCACAAGCCCGGTACAGGCACCCCACACAAACTATGGCAAAAATCAGCCCAGGAACCTTCTCCCCTTGGGTGAGTGCCGTAAGTAGGTTGGCAGGGAGAGGAGAAGAGCTCCTAAGAATGTCAAGGATGACAAAAATGCATTTTAAATGTTCGGAATGAGAACTAGTGGCTGGTGAGAACAAACAAAGGCAAACACGATCATCCCCCCCATCAGACACTCTTCTCCAAATAAAAAGTGTAGAGAACAACCAGGTTAGCGTCTGAAGTCTCAGGCTGATGAGGGGATAGTAGGAGACATCTGTTTGAAATGAGTTCAGAGGAAACACACCCAGACATGGAAACAACCTGTGGGTGGCGGCTGTATCACTCTCGGAACTCGGGGAGAAATAATGAAGAGAAGACCAGGGACTGAAGACACCACCCTGTTTTCCAAAGGGGAAATGAAGTAGATTCCAGGCACTCCAGAATGGTGAGTTAATGGTAAACTCTGGCCAAATCTGGAATATAGATGGTGAGCATTTTGACTCCTAACGATTGCTGGTTTCTTTCCAACTCCTGATTCAACAAAGAAAGTGTCACACCAAGCTAACTTCCTTCCCTTTCTGATAGGATTGCTAGAGCAACCAGCCACGGAAATACCAGTAAAACGCTAGCTGAGAGTGTAGAGACCAGTGAGGTGGATCGAGCACAACACAATCGTGAAGGTAACAGATTACACTTCAATAGTTTACTCTGTGCTAGAGGAGGTTCCAAGGGCTTTTTGTATCCTTTATCTATTTAATCCTCTATGATGTAGGTACTAACATTATTCTCATTTGGCTGACGAGAACACAGTGGCAAAGTAAAAGCAACGGGTCTCAAGGTCATATAGGTAGGATTCCAAAAACCAGGCAATGGGACCCCCAAATCCTGCCTCTCACATCAGGTGATCCTGCCTTTCCACACGAATGGCAAGGCTGATAAAGAGGGGAAATGGGAACATCCCTGTTCCGTACAGGTGAGCGAACGTGCCCTGTAGGTACTAACATTATTCTCATTTGGCTGACGAGAACACAGCGGCAAAGTAAAAGCAACGGGTCTCAAGGTCATACAGGTAGGATTCCAAAACCAGGCAATGTGACCCCCAAATCCTGCCTCTCACATCAGGCGAGCCTGCCTTTCCACACGAATGACAAGGCTGATAAAGAGGGGAAATGGGAACATCCCTGGTCCGTACAGGTGAGCGAACGTGCCCTCACTTCCACACAGGAGAGGGGAGAGTGTGGGCACACACCTTGCCTTGCTCTGCCCTCTTACCCACTCACTTCTCGGAGGGGAGGAGGGCGATGGTCTGATTGCCAAGACCGGGCGAGGCCACGAGCACACTCTCTCGGCACAGTAAGGTCATCAGGGCAGAATTTGACTACAAGGGGAGCTTGTAGTTTAAGTGCGTAAATTCCAGGGCTGATAGTCAAAGTATTTTCATTACCAGTTCATCACCAGACCAGCAATGAGAAGAGAGGCAGGCCATGAACCACCGGTGTGGCAGGCCCAGCCCTGGTAAGCTTATGTAAACAGGGCTATGAGCCAGGGTAGTTAGCCCTATTGTGATCTCAGCTTCATCAATCCAGTCGTCTCAGTAAGAGATGAGCTATTTTGATTTCCACTAGTTTGACTTCTATGTCCTGTTTTTTCCATTTGTTCTGGACTTAAAGAGGGGAAAGACAGGATATGATTAATCACCACCAGCAAACCTCCAGCTGTCCTTTGTACTTTTCAGATAATATCCCAAATACCAAATGCAGTTTCTGACGACATTTTAACCAGTTACTGCCACGCGTCCAAAACAGAAACCATCCTGCTGGCGTCTATAGACGCTTATGGCGTACAAAGGGTTAAAGGTGATATTGACAAACGAAAAGGCACTCAGAAGCCTGGGTCAAGCCTACACAGGAGGCTGTGTGGTATGAAGTGGATGGAAGGAAGAGGGGCCCCTCATGTCATCACTCCCACGGTGGACATGGATGGACCTGGAAGTCCACAGGGGGTGGGCTGAGAGGGGCCAGGATCTGGGACAAGAAATGATCTTTGGCAAAGAAAGTGATACAGCTTTGGGACCAAGGCGGGACCTCAGTACTTTAGAGTAGGGGTCAGCAAACCAGGTATACTGTCTGGCTCTCTACCCTAAAGACATGTGAAGCTCTGGTCTTGACTGGGACCAAGGCGGGACCTCAGTACTTTAGAGTAGGGGGTCAGCAAACCAGGTATACTGTCTGGGTCTCTACACTAAAGGCATGTGAAGCTCTGGTCTCGAGTTAGGAAAGTAACTTTAACAGCCTGGAGTGTGAGGAGAGGGAGTGGGAAGAGAAGGAAGAAAGGAAAAAGGAGTATTCTTAGAGGCGGGACCTTTGTGGGAAAAGGCAGAGGAAGGAATTAGGGAGGGACCACCACCATGCCTTTCTGTGTGGAGATCCCTCCTCTTGTGAGCTGGGCAACGTGACCTTTCACACCAAATTACTGACATCTGTCTGCGTGAGTTCTGCAAAGGTGAAGAGAGTGGATTTCCCCCCAGTCTTTCATAATTGGCAGCACAGAAACAATGTAGAACGCAAGCACAGGTAATCAAAAATGTTTTAATGATTAATGTTCGGACCTTTTGCAACAGTGTGGGAATATCCAGATGAGCTAAGCACACTTTGACAGCACACTACCGAATGTTATAGTTTCTGTTTGAAATATGTAAAGACTTTCGCAAACTAGTACCTAGGAAGACACACATTTACAAATATACACGTTCTAGATTTGATCAGGTAAATGTAAACAGATGCTGTGACTCCTTCCAAACAGAAAACCCACAAGACTAATAAGAGAACCACCTGGCTCCCTAAAATACGAATGTGCAAAATTAAAGCATGATATTTACATAAATACCAAACCAACAATTCGTTTATACATTGTCAATGACTTTCTAAGATGGTCACGAGTGGTTCAAGGAATATTTTTTCCTCCAATGGAAAAGGTATTCAAAGACTGACTTCCAACACTTTAAAATGACACACACAATAGTCCGTATCTGTTTGACCACTGCCTCCTCACAGGTGTGAGACATGACTTTACAAGTACGCTATTCTTTTTAAACAAGCGGTTCTGAACAAACCTTTAGATTCTAAGCAGAAAACACGACAGGTGCTGTTAGATTTACATTAAACAAATGATCTCTGTCCAATTTCCCAGTTCTCTTATGCTACAGCTATCTGTTTAATTTTACCTTACATTTTTCTTTTTTTATGGAAGGTCCTTTCCCCCCATTTATTAATTTTGGTAAGCGAGGCACATTTTAAAAGGAAGTTTGTGTCAAAACAGATAGCAGTACAGAAATCAATCTTTGTCTGGACCCTGGCAACCATGGCTCATCTGTGGGAGTCTGTCACATGTTACACAATCAGTCCTCCCGCTTGAAGAGTTGATCTCCTCTCTCTCACGAATGGAAAGCAAAATGGGCTCTGTTTCCCGTATAAAAACACTTAGCACTTCAGAAATGACACATGGCCTACTCATCCTACACACTTCCTAAAATCTTGAAGATAAAGAATATATATTTAAGTTTCATCAAGACTGCTTTAGAGCTCCCCCCTTTTTACATTATTAATAGTGGCACTCAAAATAAAAAAATAAGATCTGTTAAAAAGTTAAACTGACGGTTCCACTAGATTTGAGTCTGCCTGATTTAAAGCCAGTATTACAAAACCGAAGGTGCCGTTTCTGATTTCACACATACAAGTCACCTGAAAATGTGTCACACGCTAATTTCATAAACCACGGTCTTTGATTTTTCTAATCAGAGCTATTGAAAATGAATCAAAACTTGAAACGTATCCTAATTTAAACTAGTAAGCTTTGGGCCCTGCTTTTTAAATTTTAAGGCATGTGTGTTTCTCTACTGTAACATTGTACAAATTTACAATCACATGCATGATCTACAGTAAAAATAAAAACACAACAGTTTGGATTACAGTGTTTTCAAATTGTGAATCACAATTCAGCACCTATCATGTTATAACTAATAAGGCAACAGCAGTGTCGTATACTACAATAACACTCCCTCCGCGGCATGGCGCGGGGGTCGGTGAGAGCCCAGAAATGTTAAAAATCTTATGCCTACTTGTCTAAATCTGAATACATTTCCTAGGGGTTTTGAAGTGATGAAAGAGGTCCTACATGAATCACACTATTGTAGGCCGGACTAGTTACAGCAGCTGTTAACGAGCATCGGGCACAACTCATACTGTGCTTACAATCAGACGACTTGGTTGGGAGGTTTGCAACTCTTCGACCTCAATCCTTCCGTTGCTTCCTCGGCTTCACATTGTTTTCCAGGGATGAAAAGTTGTTGGTGTGTCCGTTGGCGGCGGCCAGGGACCCATTCTGGTGGTCCTTCAGGTGCTCTTTCCGCCGGGAGGATCCCTGCTTGTTGTAAGTCTGAAAGACACAGGGCAGATAGCAGCACTATAGTGGCCGTGCTATGCAAGGGTGGCGCCCTAACACTAACCTAGTTTCCCTGCAGGTGTCTGTGAATCAAGGTACAGGGGAGCACAGGGAAGAGGAATAGTGGCTGAGCTGCCAGGTGGCTGCTGGACACGACCACGTGCTACCGCCCGAGCATCTGTGGCCTCTGTCCTTGCTCCTGACCGCCTATGCCTGCCCTGGAATCAGATACTGCCTACGGGAGCGGGAACACACGTCATCCAGGGGTGATGGAGGCAGGGGAACCAGCAGTGGCTGCAAAGTGGTCAGACTCCACCGGAGATAATCTGCCCTAAGTGGACCCCTCTGTGAGCAAGAACCTGCATTACATCATGCCCTTGGAAATGAGCTGAGCTCCAAACGAGAAGTGGATATGCAAGAAAACTGGGACAAAGGGCAGATTTCTATCTATAGCTGATGGACTGTAATGGAAATTTCTTTTGGACATTTAATTTGGCCGTGAGGTTCAGAGCAGCGGGGCTGTGAGACTTCTGGCTGAAAATCACCTACCACGTGTCTGCCGCAGGTCTTAAGGGAAGCAACACAGGAACCTGCTGAACAGTTTTGCTTTTCCATATAAATCCCAAACCTCCCTTGCCCAAAATCTAGAACTCGGGAGGTCCGGAACAGATTTAGCATCTTTTACATTAGCAGGGACCCTCCCCTCCCAAAGGCAGGGGCTGCCCTGCCACTGTGACTAAGTTAGTGCCCACTGCCCGGCACACAGCAGGGTGTCTACCCGCCCCCCTTAGACAGACAGGTGACGGCCTCTGTTGATAAAGCCCCACAGCCCAACTGCCACCGAGGAGGGAGACGTACCTGAATGTAGAAGTTTGTGAAGAGAGTAATCAGGGAAATCATGTATCCGATTTGGAAATATAACCAACCAAGAGGGAACGAACATGGCCAGATGACCCCGCAGGTGGTCTGTATGATTGTCAGCACAAACTGAATCTGGGGGAGAGAGAAGACACAGTGAGCCTGGGGCACAGCCGTGGACAAGGAGCCATGCCAGACTGGCTCCCTACCCTGCACCCCCCACCTGTGAATTACACTCATCTACCTTTCTGTAGGGACCACCAACATGAAGCAGACACTAAACTCATCCCAAACTATTTATCTTTCTGTCTTATGTGCATTCTTCCTCCCCTCCAAGCTACTTAAACCACCTTTCCTGAAATTCAGGGAATAGTTAACAATACTGTCTTGTGCATTTGAAAGTTGCTCAGAGTACTTCTTAAAGTTCTCATCACAAGAAAAAAACCCTGTAACTACACGAGGTGAAGGATGTTAACTGAACATACTATGGTGATCATTTCATAAAACACACATATTATCAAATCATTATGCTGTACACCAAGCATGTCAAACTTGTGGTCCGTGGACCGCATGTCTCGTTTATTTGGCCTATGTTAGCCTTTGAGTTTGACATGCTTGCTGTACACCTTTAACTTATACAATATTTTATGTCTCAACGAAGCTGGAGACAAAAAGAAAATGTTAAAACAACAACCACCACCAGAATACACACTGAAACTTCAGGGACATAGTAGAGAGAGATGCAAGTTGTTTTCTTTTTAGGGAGGAAGGGAGTGGGGCGCATGCTTAAAGGGAGCCAGTGATGTCACTGCAGAATGTCTGATCCCGCTGGACACGTTCCCTATTCCTTGTCTCTGTTCCCTTTAGGTTTGGTGAAGGCTGACAAGTAGATTTAAACTCTTATCAGGATATAATTCGAAGTCCATAGAATGTTTTTGATGAGTAAGTCTTGAAAAGCATGTGGGCGTGCTTGGGAAACCGAGGCAAGGGTGTTAAAATAAAGTGTGGCTGCTGGAGGAGGCATCTTCAGGAAGAATAATACAGAGGGCGGGGCTCTGCCCGCTGGATTTGGGGCCCAGGTACCAGTGTTCCTAAATAAAAAACTGGTTTCTTCTTTTTCTTCTTCTCCTTTTTAAGGTAAGAACTCTAGGTTGAGTTATAACTAGGAGAAGTGCTCAAATTAAACCTGGGCAAACTGGGTGTGACCTTCTGCCCCAAAGGGCAGAGCCTCCTAGGAGGCCAACTTCCCCGGTCGGTTCTTTTAAATTCTGCTTCTGCGGACCTGCAGCTGTGTGGTGCACGCCAATCTCCTCGCTGCTCTTCAAGTGTAACGAG